CAAATAAAATTAGTTTTTCTACAAAAAATTTATAATTATCTTGAAATTATAAAGAATTTGCATGTGAAATTTGAAAATGTTCTAATGCATTGAAGTATTTTTAATCTTAAAATTAAAATTGCTTTGCATGTTGGACAGTCAACATTCTGAAAGAAAAAGGTTAATGAAAAAATCTTCAATTAAAAAATAGTAATACTTGATTTAAAAACCTGATAGTTTGTGTAAGAAAACCTTGTAATGATTACCAATAACCTGCAAAGTTTTGTAAAGATGTGCATACATTATCAAAAATCATAGAATAATTACTCTCATGGATACTTTTGCAGTAATGGGCTGGGTGGAAACGCATGTTATACATTATCACATTTCTCCCAGTTCATTATCATCACTTTTCTAGATGATTTGTCCCCTGACATTGCCCAAGCTCCTTCAGATTCTGCTGACATTATTCAGCATGACGATGATTGTTATTGTCTTTTTCTTCCTCCCAAGTTTGCCGTTCCTTCCCAGTTCCAGCCTGAAGATTCACCGAGGCATTCCTTGGCTTTCATGGATTTTGTATGTCAGGATTATGATGTTTTGTCTCTTTCCCCTCAACATTCTTTGCTGTATGAGCATTCTTTCCAAACATTTTTGATATTTCCTCCCTCTCCTGATATTTGGATCACTTTCCCAGTTAGATCAGTATGCTGTGCCCCCTGAAAGCCTCTGATGAGTATGCTCTTGCTTCCCATTAGGGTGGAGTATCCATTTTTGGATCACCAGTTGTTGGGTTCCTTATTACCTCTTTGGAGGGCAGCTCCTGAATATAATGTTAGTCTTGCACATGCCCAATATACTCGCTCTCGTCTTACCCTTACTACCCTTCTCCGGTATCTGTCTTCCATACATCTCCTCTCAGAGACTCACTAAAGTAATCCCGAGGGATTTTCTGCTGGTACCCGTCACCTTCTCTCTTCCACTTTGGCCTGTATTTCTTCCTCGGCGCTGTTGTTACATATGTGGTTTCTTTGTTGTTGGGACCTTATCAGTAGGGACTCCATTAATTTACTCTCCACTTATCTCAGGGATTTATATCTTGCTCCCTTTCTTTGACATTATGTCTTTGACACCATCTCTGACGATATTGAGCCATGGGTAACATCACCTGACAACAGTCCACCCTTTCAACTTAAATGGCCCATTTTTCATGACCAGAGCCTTTCATGCAACTTATTCCCATTTCCCATTCTTCGTCCTCCCATCCTTTATCCATTCCTTGAAGTCTGGGTACTTCTTTTTGTCGAGGACATTGCCGACGTATCATCTGTCTCCAATGCTTATATCTACATTCAGATAGCCCTTCAATCTTCTGTTTGTTCTTCTCGGGGTGGTTTACCAATGTTGGGCTTTCCCTTTCGGATTTGCCTCAGTTCCATACGTGTTTTGTTGTGTCATTCAGATCTTTGCTCATCATATTCATACTTTGGGGTTGTGGTTTCATCATTACATGGACGACTGGCTACTTCTTGCTCATTCCGAGCAGGAGTTGATTAATCACACTCACCAACTCCTTTCTGTGGCAGCTTGAATGAGCTGGTTGATAAAATTAGAGAAGTCAGTTCTTCAACCCATCCAATACTTAGTGCATTTGGTGGTCGTCTTTGACATCATTATCAGTCAAACTCTCCCTCCTCCTTTCCACCTCATTTCTAAGGAACTTTTAGTTCACCGTGCCCTCTCTGTTCAATAGGTTCTATTGCTTTTGAGGATGTGGTCTTTCATGACTTCATTGGCCCCCCCCCCTCGGTTGTGCCCATATGCAAGGAACACTTCAGGAATGATGGAAATTGCATGGGATCTTCTTTCTGCCACCATTTCCTTCCCTGAGAGTTGACCTGCTGTGGTGGCTCAACAAAGCCCATATGTCGGTGGGTGTGCCACTTCCTCTCCTGCATCTGGATGTCCACCTGTTCATGAATACTTCTCTTCAGGGAAGGGGGGGTGGCTTGGGATGATCACCAGGAAGCTTTGGACTGTTGGTCTGCAGAGAACTTGTCTTGCATATCAATGTACTCGAACTTCTGACAGTTCACTGGAGTTATCTCATTTCCTTTCTCTTACCTATCACTGTCTTGTGATGGTTCATTCTAACAACTCTACGGTGGTGGCTCATATCAATTACCAGGGTGGCATCTGGTCCAGAGACCTTAGTTTGTGGACCTTGGATCTTCTATACTGAGTCTAGACACATTGTATTTGTCTTATCACATTTTGTGTGCCAGATGCTTTCAATCTGGTAGCAGATTGTTTTTCACATCAAGACTGAATCTATCCCATGGACTGGTCATTAGATCCGATAGTTTTCAGAGACCTTTGCCTCCTATGGGGTTCTCCCCATCTAGATGCATTTGCCACAAGCCTCAATACAAAGTAGCTCCTCTTTTGGTCTCCTGTCCTGCATTCACAGGCTCTGGCTGTCAATGCCTTTGGCCAAGATTGGTCTCAAATATATATTTATGTGTACCCTCCCATCCATTTGCTTTGTTGGGTGATTTCTCTGGTATACTACACTCCTTGTCGAGTGTTCCTGATTGCACCCCATTGGCCAGCATAACCCTGATTTCTGATGCTCCAATGTATACTCCTCTTACCACCTGTCCCTCTTTGACTGTTTCCCTTCCTTCTGCATCAACCTCGATTTTCCTCCCCCACTCTTTATCCAATCTCCCCATCCTGCATCTTCAAACCTGGCTTTTGTCCGATCCTTAGAGAGGAGATCCGGCTTCATGAGTGGAGTTATCTCCCTGTTAGCTACTTCCATTCATCCATCTTCCATGGAAGTTCACTAGCATAAGTGGAAGTTCTTCTGCTGTTGATTTGTTGGCAGGGTGGCTCGGCTGGTGGAATTTCTCACCGGGCTCTTCGACCGTGGGTCTTCGGTCTCTTCGCTTTCTGGATATAGGGCAGCCCTTTTCCATACCTTCCATTTCTCCAGATACTGTAGGTTTTTACTTCCTCTGTTCTCACTATGCTCATGCATTCCTTCAGGATTCAGAGGTCTCCCAGCTGTCCTCCCCTTCTGGATTGGGGCATTAATGTGGTCCTCCATGCTCTGACTTTCCCTCCATTTGAACCACTTTCCTTGTGTCCCTTTTGGCCTGCAGATCTGATTTATCTGCCATTGACATTTCACATACCCTTTATCATCCACCTATCTTCTCCTTTATCATAACCATTCCTTTCTGTCCAAGACCACTGCGGTTTGAGAAGGTTGTTCCTCCTTTTCTCCTATTTCCCTTTTTTTATCTTCCATCTTACCCATTTCCCACCCCAATAGATTGCTGTGTCCCATCAGGGCCCTATGGTGTTATATTGCATGTACAGCTACCATTTGGGGTATGCGCAACCACCTTTTCATTCCCTGGCAGTCCTCCTCCCTTCATGATCTTTCCTTTTCTACCCTTATGAATTGGGTCAGCCTTCTGGTCTGTTTAGTCTATGCATTGGGGTTTCGTCTTTCACCTGTGGCCGTGCTTTACGTTTCTGTGCAACTTTAGCTGGTAAGATTTATTCCTTTTCCTCTTTTTCAGGGGCCTTCCTTTATCTCCTCTTTTTCATATGGATCCTGCTCTGTGGTTAGTATGTGCCTGGTGAGATATTCTTTAACTTAAAATATGCACTGTAAGCCATGTTGACTCGTGCTCTCTCCTCCATGGCTCCGCATGGTCACCACAGGGATGGGGTGTTCCACAAGATCACTGAAAGGTTATCTACCTCACTATAGTTGCTTCATAAATATGTCCATTCTGGACCATACCATCCATGGGCAGCATGGGTAAAGCAGAAGGGGATAGCTGCCCATCCCTGCCATGCCTTGAGAGAATAATGTGGTATGTTCTGCTTTTCAATATAAGGTATCATGGTTACCCATTACACTGTCTCTGGTGATGATGTTCCTCCAGACTCTCCATCACATTCTCACATCCCTTCTTCGAGTGGAGTATGGGAGTCCTTGCCACTTTCCAGTTCCAAGCCACTGGGGTGGTTCACCATAGAGTCACCCTCCTGAATGAGTTCCACTAACAAGTTGGCTATAACCATTCAGTCGAGAGTAGGGCAGTGGTGTTCTGCTGGTATAGATGCAACATAGCCTCTACAGGAGTTGATTTGTCCCCTTGCTGGTGGACATGGCCTCCTGATACTATTTACACAATCACAGAAATTGATCCGTCACCTTCCTGGATCATGTGGCTTCTCCGGTGCCAAACTTCAAAGTGATGGTTCAGTAGAGGAGTGTAGAGGGAGTCACTTGCATTATTTGAGCATGCTATGCTACTATTGGTTAGTAGATGACGCATAATGATTTGTATGAGAGACACGTTGGAATATATTTATTCCAACAAGGGGGGGGGTGCAAGGCTTGTGGCATGTGTAAAGAAAATGTTTACATATAGAGGGCAGCACTGAATGAGAATAGTTAATCTTGTGAGAAGGTGGTAAGCTTAGGTGTATTGGAAATACATTTTCAGTATAGGAAAATTATAACATTAAATTAATGTAAACAAATAATACATCCATTAATTTGTAAACAATTTGGTGTTAGGTTTAATATACTTTTAACGGAATGCTTTAATAAGTTTGATAATACACATGAAAATTATTATATTATACAAAACATTAACAATTATTGGATTAATAGGAATATGTCAAATTTTTTAGTGTGTGAACAGACCAGTTGTGAATAAGATTTTTCTTCCTTAAGCACATAGAACTTGAATATGTTTAACATTAGTTACAGCTAACACGAAAACAGGTACAGTATTCTAATTCACAGGATAGGTAATTGATAACTTGTAAATTCATATGTATTTGTTGCTGAGCATTTTATGGGCTTATTGTTGAAATATTTTCTTTATTTAGGAACATAGAGAGAGTTTTGAAAAGTGTGGTAAGTTTGATTAGTTTTGTAAGGGTTTATATTTATGTATACTAAAGTTACTGTTTTTTCTTATTCATAGGTGCAATTGCAAGTGAAGAAATGGTAAGGATCACTCCTTCTCTGAGAAGCAAAAAAGGTAAGAACCAACAGTTTTAAACTGCAGTTGTTTGAAATTTAGTTTTAAAATGTAATCTATTATCATGGTACATGCTTTGATGGATTAGTATAATAACAAATTGCATGAAAAATAAAATAATTATAATGCATGGATTATTTGTGTTTTGATTGGAAACAGACAGGTAACATATCAATATTATGTGTAAAAACACTGCTGTAATGCTTCCATTTGTAAATAGCAATAGCTTACTAATCATGCATGTTTAAAGTAGCAAACAAGCATATTATCAGTACAAATTATCTAATAGTATGTTATCTAACATATATGTATTTATGTACTAATTAGGAACAAACTTTGATTATCTGCTTGACTACTAGAAATTATATAAGGAATTCCAGTTATCTTTGTAATCATCATCAATAACATACCTTCAAGATTATGGCAGTCTTGCCCTTGATGATTTTTAGAACAATTGAGGTCTTATTTCGTTTTATATACATTTATTACTAATAGGATCTATTTGGACTAAAGACAAAACTAATTTTGAATGGTGGGAGATAGAGATGATTTTCCGAGTAAATGGCAGAGGAAGAGTTGGAGCTGATGGTTTGGTAAGATGCTATTTCATTTCTTATTTCTGATGTGTCCCTACATATGAAGTGTCCAAGATGCTATTTTTAACTGTAATAATAGTAACCTTATGAGCAATAGTGAAAGCTTTGCTGTTAAGTCATTTTGCATTTTCTGTTTTACACTGACCTCATTCATGTAGTTATAAAATTGAATTAATCATTCATAGAGAATACATTCTTTGTAGAATTTTTAAAAATCAAATATTTTAGCCATTTCTTTGAATATGTTACTGTAACATTTTTTACCTTTTTCAACTTTTCTTTTCTTTTCTTTTGTGCACTAAGAGAGTAAATTACATATTATATAATTACATTACTTAGAACCTCCTTGTTTAGTTCGGATTTAGAGTGATTTTCACGTGGCTTTGAGAATACCATTCTATTCACACTCAGTTGAGACTGTCAGTGATCTTATTTGTAATGAGATGGAGACATATATTCGGTTACATGGTGTTCCTTCAGGGGGCTCTGAGGCTGCATTTGAGGGTGATCCTTGGCATTCTGGAGAGAATTTAGATTCGCTTTTCCTTGCAATTTCTTTTTGTCTGTTAGTTTTCCAGTTCCTCTGTGGGATAGTGGTGAGATTGCAGGGTTTGATTTCCTATAGTGGTCACAGCAAATGGACCAATGTTGCTTTGCTCTCACAAACAAACTTACTCGACTACATGTTGTTCCAATCAATGTTAATCAACTCAGTCTTTAAATGAAATATGAACAAAAAAGGTGGTATCTTTGGGTTAAGCCTTTGATTCATTTTCTTCTGTTGGTTCATTGAGTGTCTGAGGTTTTGGGTCTTTCCTCAGTTGCTTTTAATCCTGCACCTTCCTTGAGGGCTGCAAGGACTGGAGGCTAATATTTCACTTTATCTTCTTCCACAGACATTGTGGTTCATGCAGGGCAGTTTAGATATCATTTCAGTGAAGGGACAGTTATGCCTTATCGGAACTTCGTGATTTAGCTTACCACCATCAGGTGGAAGCATATTCTGATTCTCATATAATACATCTGGTCCTTGAATTTTGGGATTCTATGTCAGAGGTTTTCATTCACATCCATACATTAATATCCCCTGGTGGTACAGGGTATGTCTATGGACGTACAACTCTACTCTAACCTTCTGTTTTCCTTTCTACACTTGTTGGAAACATCTCTGGTTCAACACCTTTGTTGATGATGAGCTGGAATCATTATTAACATGTACTTTGGTTTGTTTGTCAACTTCTACAGTCTACCCTGTTCTCATTGGCATCTCAAATTTCATCAGTGTCCACAGGGAGCCTTAGTTCCACCCTTATTCAAGAGTCCCGTCTCCAGACATCAGCACCTTGGTACCCAGAATAGTTTCTACCTATTTCCACGGGTTCTGCTGTTTAGTAGAATTGCCATCAGTGGTACCTGTGTTTATTGTATATCTTCAGAGTCTGTGGGGGCTAGACTCCGAGTGTTTCTGGACATGGGATACCCTTACCCACAGATCCAGGAGTCCTTGAGTCAGATCTTCAACACTATTATCCACCCAGCCTGTCAGAAGCTGGTTTATCTTTTGGTGTAGCTTGAATGTTGTCACATTTTTGCTTCTCAATAGATTGTCTTATTTTTCATATACTTATTTCATGCTTGTGGTTTGTCTGCTTCTTCTGTTGCAGGCTACAGAGCTGCCCCTCTCTGCTGTCTTTGTAGGCTACATAAATCATTATCTTCTTCTCTCATACCTGCACTTTCCAGATATTTTTGGAGCTTTTTGCTTACTTCAACCATTAGTGCCTAGACGATGTCCTCAGTGGGACTTGAGTCTTGTCTTAAGATGTTTTGCTTCTTATCTTTATGAACCTTTAGTGATTTGTTCACTCTACCATTATTTTTTCAAATACATATATTCTTGTGTTGCTCACTTCAGGTAGAAGCAATCAGACATTAATGCTTCTTGTACTAACTTGTTTTTTTCTAGGAAGACTCTGTATTCATATCCTGATAGGGCTTTCCTACCAAAAACTTGAGCTGCAAGAGAGGCAAACCACTATTTTTCTCAGTTTGTGTTGCCTACCTTGATTGATCCAGGTTCTCATTCAGAAGACCATATTATATGTCTTTTCAGAGCTATTTGTCCCTATATTGCATGAGTAGAATCTTTCAGAGGGGATTTTTTTATACTTTATAGTGAATCTTGCTCCATTCACATTACTAATTAGCTTGTGCACCGATCCATTTAATTTCTCTCAAGATGTACCCAAACACTGTAAAAGTGAATATTTGGCAATGTCTTTGGCTTCTTGGTCTCAGTATCTTTTACAGAGCATGTGGAAGAATTCACTTACTTTTCTTCAATTTTATCTTCATCACTTCAGTTTTGGGATTTCATTTGCCATCTGTGTTTGTTCTCGAAGCCAGATAGAATTAATAACAGGTGAGTTATTCTTTGTTCAATGCTTATTTAATGCTTGGAGCCACATCTATGTTGTGTACGTGGTGACCAAAATATTTCTGCTATGACTGGGATTATGAAATAGATTGAAATATAATAGTGTCTTAGAAAATTCTGTATTTATATGGATTTGTCCAGTCAGGACTTTTGCATGTTCATAACCCTATAAATTTGTCCTAGACATAATTCTACTTAGTGTTGACCCTGAAAGTGGACAGAGGATGCCATCTCTGGTTGATGCTTTGGTGGGTATATTTCCAACCTCTATGATGCCTTCTTGCTTGATGTTAGGGGTATCTGACACAGGACAGCAATTCTCCATAGATATCTCGGCTTCAACCAGGAAGGGAATAATTTTTTTTTTTTAATTATTGTTTTTCTCATTACATTCTTATGTGTCACCAATACTGTCCATAAATTATTGAGCCCCATCCTTGGGACAGCTTGGGTCCACTAATTTGGACTGTTTTGGGACTCACTGGCATTTTAAGATATGGATGAAGAGGGGTTACAGCTTCTGGAGTATCTCCACTGATATTATTTTACTGGGCTGCTCTCTCAAGAGCTTTCCATTACAGGAGCCAGGCATTTTACTTCTCCTACATGTTTATACCACCACCTATGTTCCCATCATTGACTCCACAGATACAATAAAATATTACCACCGTAGCAGATCTCTTTTACAGTACAAACTGAAATGTATCAAGGGTGGAGGGGTACTCACCTTGATGAGAAGAATGCTTTATTTTTTCGTTCCAGTCTTTATATAAGGCTGGTCTACTCCATTAATTCTAAGTTGAATTCAGTTCTTTGAAACTTTTTGGTTTTTGATTCTATTTTGACTGGTTAAGTACATCTTTACTGTGGTCTGAATTACTTTCCTGCCTGTAACTTACACACTTATAACTATTTATGTATCATTTTCACTCTCATGGGTTCCCACTTCCTTTTTCAGTGTGGGTATTCTGGCCTACAGTATTTCGAAGGTAAGTATCTGTCTGAAGTTTATTTTATTAATAAAAATGTCAAATTCAAACCGTGAAGTCCCAAGCAACTCATTACAACCAGGCTTTGTGTTTTTCTTCATGAGTTTATATAATCACCTGATGCATGTGCAATAAGACCCAAGGAAGGTGGGAGAGTGGAGAATTATGGGAAGTTACACATGCTGTTCAATGTGTAAAGGACATTAAGAATTTTGATTCACATGTTTATTGACATTATTGGAGCAAACTCAACAAGGCCTAAGTGTTTCAGAGATATGTATCTTTCTGAAATTCATTTTATTTGTAAAAATTTTAAACAATAAAAACATGAAAATAATAATAAATTACTTCTAATTTTTTGAAATTATGCATCAATGGCTTATTGTAATCACAGAATATTACAAGTGACTGTCATCTTAGTTATTATGTAAAATTTTTAGGAATTCTTGTCTAGTTATAGTTAAAAAATAGATTTATTTCCTTATCAGTTTGCTTTATGTTTGAATTGACAATACCCGAAATCCCTAAGGAGTTTGTTTCAATTAGAAAAGTAATAAATATATTTCCTTGTTGTAGGTGATGTAGTGAACTTGTTTTTGTCAGTGGACTTCTCTATTCAGAAAAGTTTTTTAAGCTTAATCAGGCATCCATGGCATGAATGATGGATAGAAAAAATAAGAAATTAAAATGAAAATTTTAAAATCACTGTAGAAGTTAATTAGGAAGGATACTAAAATTTCAAACTTTTTATTTTAGTTTTAAATGTTTAGCCTTTAAAAAAGTACAAAATGGTAGTAGTATGAGATCTTAAAGAATCCCCAGGAAAATTATGATGTATTGAGAAAGTTTACTGAGATAACACTAAATTTAAGTAATGTTTTTTTTTTTAGATGGGGAAGCTGTTTTTGTATAAGAACTTGCATGTCCAGATGTATTCTAGATGAAATTGCAAATAGTTTTTTTAAGTAAAAGTTTAAAAATGTTTAAATCATACCATTGATATCTATGCAATGATGTCTAATATTTGTTCTGGCTTACATCTTTAGTGTGATGTAATTAAATGTTAGTTATGTTGAAAAGTGGGTGCACAATTGTGTGCTATATATAGTTTAAAAATCATCATCTTAAGTTTTAGCTCCCCAGTGGTACAGCGGCATGTCTGTGGACTTGCAACACTAGAAACCGGGTTTAGATACTCGTGGTGTGCAGAGCACAGATAGCCCATTGTGTAGCTTTGTGCTTAATTACAAACAACTAACTTAAGTATTTAAATAGGTTTTTGAAAGATGAGATTTTGTAATAGTAGAACTGTACAAAGTAAGCTTTAGTTACTGTGATCTAGTTAATTATTTGTTAACTTAAATCTTTGCCTATTTAAAAAAAAACTGAAATTACCATCAGCTACGTATAAAATAAATTTTCAAAAATAAGTAGTTAGAAATGTAAGTAGAAGTTTAATGTTACTTAGGACTAATGTTTTTTAATTACATGAAAGTTTCATTTTTGATTTGTTATATTTTTTATGACCCAGCATTACAGACAAATGTAATTTTTCCTAGGCTCTCTGGTACACAGACAAAAGAGAAAAAGAAGGACCTGTTTTTGGAAGCACTGATAAATGGGTTGGTCTTGGCATCTTCTTTGATTCCTTTGACAATGATGGAAGGGTAAGTGAATTTCTAAAATGAGAAGTGACTATAAACATATAAATATGTTGAAGCTTTTTAATTCAGGTATTTTATCTAACATATTTATTGACACTTAAAATAATTGTGCAGTTTGTTTTGTAATATATATGTTCAACAAATTTGTATGAAATAAGTGCAATGACTGTTCCTTTTTGCAATGAAATAATTTCTTCTAATAGACCATTATACAATAATAATGAATTTATGATTTCTGAACATATACAAGTTATTACCTAAATATTTAATGAAACTTAAGAACTGTATGTGTATTTTTGGTAAAGCATTGTTTCTAAACTTACAGTGAACTTTGAGCAAAAAATAAAAACTATTAAAGGTAGATAACAGGCACAACCTGTTTTTAAGTAAATGCATGTCTTTAGTGATAGCATTTTCAGAGTAGTAGTGAGGCAATGATTATTGCTTTGCATTTTTTAGGGAGAAGTAAAAAACAGTCATCTTAAAGGTACAAAAAATTATTAATTTTGTACAAATTGATTCTTGATCAAATTTAATTTCTTCTTATGAATTTGGATTATTTCTTATAAAATACATTTTTCGTTTTTTTGATAGGGAAATAATCCATATATCATGGCCATGACTAATGATGGAACAAAAGTCTATGATCATCAGAGGTGATTTTTATTATATTATATTATCAAAATACATTATATTGGCAAGATAGTTGACTCTTAGTGGTCTGTTTCTAATTGATTTAGGAAAAATTATAATATGTTGCTGATAACTGATATGTTTTGGGAAGGAATGGGGGGGGGGGGTAGTTAAAATATGAGTTACAAAATGAAATTTACATATTATATTATTGACCATCTTTAGTATACCCAGCTTCAGTATTCTTTTACTTATTGATGCTGTATTTTTTGTTATATAAAGTTCATGAATATTAATTATCTTAAAGTTGTAAAATATGTTCTGAAAATATTGATTCAATATTTTATATTCAACTTACAGTGATGGGATTAATCAGCAATTGGCAGGATGCCTAAGGGACTTTCGAAATAAACCTTTTGCTGTGAGGACTAAAATCCAGTATTACAGGAATATACTTACAGTAAGTACTATTTCAATTTTTCTATAGTCTTTAATACAGTTATCTGTTTTACTATTTTGCTTTTAATGAAATACCATTTACTTTGTTTCCTTGTTTTATTTAATTTGATTTTGATCCATATTTTCTATAAAAATAAAACTGAGACAAGTAAATTTAAATATTTTTGTTTGTTATATAGTGAGAGTTTTTTTGGATTTACTTGGTGTGTGGAGATTTAAGAAAGTTATATTAAAATGATTTTGAATAAGCATATAAGCAAGTCACTTGACATCTACTATGAAAATAAAGTCATAGTGTATCAGAACTACATTTTGACGTTGTCATTTTTTAGGTAATATGATGACACCCAAAACTGATTACTTTTGGTAAGGGTAACCTTTTCTGATCCAAAATATTCATACATTCAGTTCACAAGATTTATGCAGACTGTAGATTTAGAATTTCCAAACAAAGGAATATGGATTAACTTAGGACACTAGTACCATCTAGAAACAGATCTGCCACAAATCGTACCTCCCTCTGTGATAAGTAAATTGAAGCATCATACAACAGATGAGAGTCCATGAACACAAAGGTCAGTGGCAAAAGTTGTCCACATGCCCCAGGTAACAGCACAAAATATTATCAAGAAAGATTTCTATCTTGAAAAATGACATAAGTCATGTATACAAGCTGCTTCCATTACCATATATGTTTAACCATTGCATACCTCAAGCAGCTAGAGAATGAAATCAGTATTCATGCTATTTAATATGAAGACATATGGATTTCTGTGTGATCAAACTGTTGAAATGTGTGCTGGGACTAATTAAGAAGAATAGTTTGGATATTATAAATAAGTTAAACAACTGTTCCTAAGTCAAATAAGTAATTTTGCATGTGTTCCACTTTCTCATAGACATCATAAACACAGATAACCTGCCTAATCGATTTATTTTGTAAAAAATGAAAACCTGTACTGAAATAACTTTTTTTTTGTTTTTGCTTATACACAGGTAATTTACATACATATTAACAGCCTGTTGTTAATTGTAATAATTCCAGACCAATTAAGTCATAAAATGATACCAAGTGTCCACATGTTTATAACTCACAATTACAAAATAATTAGTTAATAGTTAATTTCAAAATATTATTTGTTAATATTAATTTAGAGAATTAATTTATATAAATAACAATTTTGAAATTTTGCTGCAGTATCTTTTCTAATAAGACTGATCACTTGTTGCCAGTTTTAAACTTTTTATATTTTATGTTTAAGTATGTAAGTATTTTACATTTTTAAGTTTCGTATTAGACTCAACTTGCAATCAGATATTTTTTTTAAAGACCCATTTTGCAGATCTTATAACTTTTGTCAGGAAAAACATGTCTCTTTATTTTAAATTATAATGGAATTTAGATTTAACTGGATTAGTGAACTTAAGGATATTGATAACTCGAAATAACTTGAAGCTGTAATAGTGAAATATTGAGCTAATAAAGTTACATTGTGGAGCTATAGGTCATGATTTTATTTACGTTTATAGAAATGTCTCATAATAAACTCCAGTTTATTTTAAACAAAGTCAAACAAATTTATATTCATTTCAATTCTGTCCCTTCTGGACACAAAGCACTGATAAACATCAGTAAGTAAAATGTAAATGTAGAAAAAAAAATCGAATGTATTAACATGAATTTAGAAATTCAAAAAATTGAATGGATAAAACTTGACTTTTTGGCAACAGATTAAATGATTTGTGAACACACATTTTTTTCTCTACCCTCTGGTTTGCATGTTATCCTTACAAGGTCACTAATTGTTTCTCTGTTGTTCTTATTGGCAAGCCACAGAGAAAATAGGTATAGCCTAACAAAACAGTTCATATTTTGACTGTGAGATTTAATCAAATGAGATGCAAGAATTCCAACTTACATGATCAGTTAGGTATTATTTGTAAAATACATAGTGTCTGATGATAAATCACTTTTGAAACATTTTATCTAGCTTGGTTTAAAATTTGACATATAAAAAAAAATGACATAATTGTTTGATAATCACTTAATAATGCTTAAGAAGTCAGCTGTGGTTGATAAACTCACCAATCAAATTCAAGGATAAGTTAGTGCATACCTGTTGTTTGTTATTGGAATTGGAGAATTAATGGATTACCAGTTAAACTGAGTTATTGTCTTAGGAAGAAAATGTTTTGGAGTGATAAGAAGCTTCCCCATTGGCCAAAATTGTAGATAGGATACTACTTCAGCCAATGACAATTCCAAGAAACACATGCATGGATTATTAGTAACATAAATAAAACTTTTTTGGGTCAACTGAGGAAGGGGAAATATGCTGGAAATGTTTTAGGAACAGACAGAAAAATATTATAAGTGCATGGCACACATTGTACTAAACTTGGTGGTGCACTTGCAGTATCCAGTGCTAGTGATACTTTATCTTTAATGTAAACTGTTGTTTGAAATAAGCCATTTTTACCAATGAGTATGGCATTTTAAACTTTTGACAGTATAAAACCTTATTAAAAAGTAAATTTTCAATGTGCAACATAAAAACATTAATCATCTAAACTATATAAGTAAATAAAAACTTTTCAAAACAGAAAGTAAATGTAGGGATGGCTGACATCAATCCTTCAAAAACAATGCAAACAAGATAGTAGGGATGGAACTTGTATCATTCCTACATAATAGCACAAGGAAGAATTAACATATAGAATATATATAAATATTTAATCACAATAGGATTTAATTTATCCTATTTTTGTCTGTTAACATTCTACTACACTGTCTGCCTGTGCTATTAAGTGGGGATGATGCAAATGTCATCCCTACTATCTTGTTTGCATTGTTTTTGAAGGATTGATGTCAGCCATCCCTACATTT